GGGGGGGGGGGGGGGGGGGGGGGGGGGGGGGGGGGGGGGGGGGGGGGGGGGGGGGGGGGGGGGGGGGGGGGGGGGGGGGGGGGGGGGGGGGGGGGGGGGGGGGGGGGGGGGGGGGGGGGGGGGGGGATCTTCACTTTTGGATTCCCAACCCTTCTGAGGGATCTTTATGAAGTTTTTTCTTTTAAAAGAAAAAAATCTTTTAATGATTTTTTTTAATCTCTTATATGTCCCTCCATCTATCCTAGAGCCTCTCCATTCTCGTCTCTTTGGAAGGACAAGATCTCAGAGGAGGTCAAGTTCTTTTTGTGGCAATTGTTTGCCAAAGTGAATCATTTGGACCACATCCAGATGCATTTTGCAGGGATTGTTGTGGTACACCTTATGTAGACTTGCGTTTGACCACTCCTGTGGAGTTCTAAGTTTGCTCATGCTCAGTCTTTATGGAATCATATTTTTGTATATGCTTGAGATCTGCTTGGCGTACACTAAACATTATTATTCTATGATGGGGGAAGTCTTTTCTTTTCTTTCTTTTTTAATTTTCGCTTTTAGGATGACGTAATTTTTTTTGAGGTGTTTTGAGGTCCTAGAAAGAGATTTGGACTATTGTTAGGTTTAACGACTCTGTAGATGCTAGTGTATCGAACTTTATGTAATTATCAAATAGGTCTTATCCTTTTGAATTGAAGTCTGTTTCTACTTAGCTAGAGTTTGAACTCCCTTTGGGTCTGTTTTTGTATGCCTTTGTATTTTCAATTATTTTGCTTCAAAAGGCTCAATTTCTTTCTTTATAAAAGAAACTCCCTTGAGATTCATTTGACAAATGGAGACATCAGCCTATTTGGATTCGAGATCATCTTGTGCGATTGACAAATTGATGCATCTTAAGAATGCAAGTATTTTGACAAACTCCCTCGAGATGAGCCTCATTTTAGGGGTGGGGTGCAAACAAAAACCAAAAAATCCCAGAAGTATCAACCAAATTAATAAGTTAAGTTGGTTTAAGCAATAAATATTGATATGATCAGATTCATAAAAGGTTTAAATTCTATTTTGGTCCTTATTCTTTTAAATTTGTCCCCTTTAAAGTCCCTAAAATTTTAAACTATCCATTTTGGTTTGAACTTTCGTGTTTCGTGTTTGCTTCATTTTGGTCCCTTAACTTTTGTAGTGTCTATTTTAGTCTCTTTTAACTTTCTAAAAGCCGACTATTTTAGTTCTTATTATGCTATTTTCCCATTTAATTTCCACTCGTTCAATGCTCTTCTCTAACTTTTGTGGCTTGAATCACACTTGTCTCATTAATTTGTCAAAAACGTAATAAAAACAAGGATCAAAATGATTACTGCTTAAAATTGAGGGTGCTAAAATAGACATTTTGTAAGTTTCTTAATATAGTATTTAAACTTTCATAGACTGTAAAATGAAAATTAGTTAGTCAGTCTGGTTTTGATTTTTGGCGGGGTTTGGTTAGTTTGAGCTCAGTTTTTAGTTTCATCTTCGATTGATGAGTTGTGTGGGCGTCAGTCGTGGCCGAAAGGCTATCCAAACCGGTCCACTGACACCGTTACCTCAAATGTTCTTTCAACATTTGCTACACCACACCCCATGTCTTAGGGTCGTAGATATCAGCGTATGTTTGACATCAAGGAAAACTTCATTTTATTCGTTTCAGTCATCTAATGATTTACTTCGGTTGATTTCTTTGCTTAGTTAACTATACTCTCTTACAGATTGAGTTAGTATATTTCTTTATGGTCCTTGGGTTTGAGCATATATTTTGAATTCTGCTGTCAGTTTGAAATACATATTGTTGTCTTGACACTCCATTTTCTATCGATACTTCTTCTGTATTATAGGTGGAGAGAATGAATGGGTTGGCTTCGGAACTTGCGGCCGTAGCTTCACAAGAGAAAGCAATGTTAGATGAATGTGAATCATTGCTGGCCTCAACAACAGCAATGCAGGTGAGAACAATATTTTCCTCCTCTTAGAATTAGGAAGGCCCATTTATCTCACAAATCTCACTTGATACTTGTGAGATCCCACATTGGTTAGAGAGGAGAACGAAGCATCCCTTATAAGGGTGTGGAAATCTCTCCCTAATAGACGCGTTTTAAAACCGTGAGGCTGACGATGATACATAACGGGCCAAGTTGGACAATATCTGCTAGAGGTGAGCTTGGGCTGTTACAAATGGTATTAGAGCCAGACACTGGGCGATGTGCCAGCGAGGACGCTGAGCCTCCAAGGGGGGTGGATTGTGAGATTCCACATCGGTTGGATAGGAGAACGAAGCATCCCTTATAAGAGTGTGGAAACCTCTCCCTAGTAGACGCGTTTTGCTAACGGCGATACGTAACGGGCCAAAGCAGATAATATCTGCTAGCGGTGAGCTACAACACTACTCCACGAGCTGCGTAAAATATTTCGTTATTCCTGAAGATTGTTTTAGGTTATGAAAAAAATTTAATGTAAATCCTAATTTTGCATAAGAATAGGAACTCACGGTGAAATAACATAACGTGTGGGTTCAAAGTGAATCAAGAGTTCACCACTTTGAAAGCTAGTTCATTTTGGCAAGCTTCCTAGAAAATGTCTTTATCTAATCTAAGAATATAGATTTTCTTAATCTTTTTTAGCTTATGAATGACAAGAAAATTGAAATTTGTTCTGTTTGGAAACTAATAGCTGACTACCAAGATCCGCTTAGAAATGTTATGAAAACTTTTTCTGCTTTCTTCACTGAAATTGTATGAAAACATTTTCAAAGTTACTGTTCTTTTTAAAGTTGTTTCTTCTCAACTCTCTTAATAAATATACAAGTAATGTTGTTCTTACTCCAAAAACCATGAGATTATTAACGGCATGTCGAAAATATCCTTGTATGACTTGTTTGTTTACGAAAACGTGTTGGTTTAGCGAACAATAGTTTTAAGCACACAATCTTCTTTAACGACCATACTTGAACAGGATTTGTTCTACAGGTCGTACGACCGAGTCCTTGAGTTCAAAAGCTAGAGCACACAATATTCTTTACTTCTCATGAACAAAATCAAAGAAATCTCTTTGTAGTCAATTCCCAAACATCCATATATTTATCCTCCAAAAACTCCATCTTCATGTAGATAGAAAATGTCCAAATTCTTGCTTGAACTGGTTTCTTGAGAATTATATTTGATTTTGATGTGTTGTTTTGTGTATTGAAACAGGTAGAAGAGCATAGTCTTAGGACACATCTCATTCAAATGAAGCAATCTTTGGAAAACACAACTCTCAATCTTCTTCCCCATAAGTATAACTACCACACTACCTTCATAACCCCTCGCCAACGAAGCTAACAGCAACATAGTAACCTCCAAAATGCCACTTGTATTTGCTTCATCCATCTTAAATGTAAATTTGATTATTTATTTATTTATTTATTGATTTATATATATATACATATATATACAGCTGCATATATATTGGAAAGAACATGCAGGTCATTCCAATAGCAGCCCCCAATAGGAGTGTTGCAATGCAAATGAAAGTGAAGATGGCAATTAGTTCATATGTATGAGGTTAGGACATTTTCTTTTTGTCTCTCACCCCCCCTTATTCTTTCGTGTTATTTAGTTTCGAGTGGAAGTCTAGTCGTGTTAGAATACTCGAATAAGGTTTGTGATAGTTCAGTCGATAAATGAAAATCATGAGATGTAAATGTATGGTTGGTTTTCGCTACACAAAGTGATGTTGTTGCTTATTTATTTGATCTCAATCAATTGGATGATTTGTAACCAAAACAAGTCTAACACACCAATGAAAGGTCATTGTTCCCAGGTGATGTTCTTGCAAAGATGTATGGAAGGCTTTGCATTCTTTTTATTTGAAGAGTAAACAATATTGTCATTTAGATATCCGATCAAATTGGTTCATGGTACAAAAGATCCAGATGAGATTATAAATTGCTCGAAGTAAATAGAAAAGTTACGTTGATTTGAGAAGAAAATACTTCGAAGTTTATGGTGCTTGGCCTGATCGGGATGCTAAGATTTGGAAAGAAATGAAAATTAATCTATGGTACATAGGCTCTTTCGAGATTTTAGAATATATTAAACATGTAGCATAACGGTAGGCATTAGACTGATTCTTTCTACCATTCATGATGTATTCCATATTTTTATGTTAGGTAAATATATAATAGATTCCTCGCATATCTTGGAATATGAATCATTTCATATAAGTGAGGATTTGGGTTCTTCCGAGGAGAAAACTACGCGACTCCTTGCAAGAGGAATAAGCCATTACGTAACAAGGAATAACTTTGGTATATGAGGTTTCGGTTGTAGATTCTGTAAATTTCTACGGATAATAAACAATAGATCTCAGCATCTCAAAGAAAAAGTCCCGTCATAGCCAGGTATGTGGTTATTGAATTAGTAGCTAAATTTTATAAGATTAAATATAACTATGTTATGAACTTAAAAAGTCTCATCATAGCCAAGTATGTAGTTACCGAATTAGTAGCTAAGATTTATAAGATTAAATGTAGCTGTATTACAAGTTTCTTTAAAATTTAGTTTAACGAGATCCCTATCCTATTTAAGAGTTTTACTATTTGAGTTATTATGTTAAATTTAAACTTCTCATCAATCAAATTAATCCAAATTAATCTTTAGCTATTGTCGGTATCAAATTTACTAGTATTTTATATTGGTTAGTTTCTTAGATTGGTTTTATGTTGAATTTAATTCTTCATTTGAATGACAATTAAGGAATGATGATAAGAAATAGAGGTATAAAAAACTCGATCGATCTAACTTAATTAGTACGTTCGAATTTTGTTATCGATTGAGTTGAATTTCAACTAAATAAATATATATATATATATAAAATGATGGTCGAGGTTACCTAAAATAGTAATTAGATTGAGTTGAGTTCTCTGTTATTTTTTTTTTACTGTAATATAATATAATATAATTATATAATTATATATATATATATTATTTATTTAATTTTACAATTATTTTTATTTTCTAACCCTAATATATAATATATTATTGAAATTGAGTTACAAATATTAATATTTAAAAATAAATAAATAGGAATTGCATATTAATATTTTATTTTTATTACAAATAAAAATTGAAATAAATGACATTAAAAAATCAGAAAATATCAACGGAAAAAAAAGGAAGAAAACGGTTAGAGTCCAACTTCAAAAGTATTGTGGATAAGATTTTTTAATTTTCTTTTCGAATTTCTTTAATTTTCGCCAAATTCACACCCTCCACTGCTCCCTTCCTCAGCTCAAACCTCTATGGCTGGGCTCTCCGGCCGCTTCCCTTTCAAATCTATCTCATCTCAATCCTCCGCCACCGCCACAGCCACCACCACCACCTCCTCCTCCTCCTCCGCCACTCCCTTTCGAACCTCAATTTTCCCTCTACCCCTCCCCTCCTCCAAATCCAATGCCTTCAGATTCCGCCTTCACAACTCCAACTCTCTGCGTCTCGTTTCCTCTCCAATTCGTACTTCTGTATTTGCTCGATACGGCGGCGCTCCTCGATCTTCAGGACCGGCGGGTTCTAAGCGCTCTGAAGATTCTCTTGCTCTCGATGTTTCCTCCATCAGGTTTGTGCCTTATACATGCAAGAGTTACATGACGAATGAATTTTGTTTTTGATTCCGAGTTCTTGTTTGTTTTATTGCGTTTTTTTGTGAGTGATTTGTATAGGTCGAATAATGTGAGGCTTATCGATGAACAGCAGAATATGGTAGGTGTTTTGTTCCGCCTGAATAGCTTTTGCTTGGGGAAAGGCAATTTTTGTCTATCTTCCTGTTTCCATTTACAACATTTCGAAACTTGTATGCGAGGCGCCTTAGTTTGGAAATTTAATCTTCTTGAAATGAATAGGTTGGAATTGTGCCAAAGTCCCAGGCGATTCAAATGGCTGAGGATGCCGAACTCGATTTGGTACGTCGTCTTGTACCGTGTGTTGTTAAAATAATTGTTTGTCTATGAATTCCAAAGAAACCTTGATCCAAACTTTAATGCTATGCGGGGACAAAATGTTGAAATATCATCATTAGCCTGATACGGTCAAGATACCTAAATATTTTAGGAAAAAGATTTAGATATTTTAGGAATAGATTGTATAGCTTTTAGTATAAATACCCTTCCGCTCTATTCCCAAGAAATACAAATCACAGAGTGCAGCAATAGTTTCTACCGAGTGTCTTGTAATCTCTTCTCGATTGGTGTTAATAAATTGATGTTAATAAAGTGTGCGAGTGTTTCCTACAAAAAGCTATGTTCAACACAAAATACATAGCTCATATTTCTTTTGAAACTATGAAATCGAGAATGTGCTTTTTAGCTTCAGGTTGATGTTGATCTTAAATCTTAATTCCTTTTTCACTCTCTGCTTGTTTATTGCCACTTGGGCTTTGGTTTATCTTCAATAAACTGGTCTCGATATAAAACTGAGCATGGGATCAAAAGCTTATGGTAATTATAACTGAAAATTGTAGTTCTAAGTTATAGCAGTTCATCCATAACTAGAAGAATCATCGCATGGTGAATGTTTTTCATTTCAGAGTTGTGTATTAGGCCAACTTTACTGTTTGCTCCGATTTAAAATTGTAATTTCTTTCCATATGGGCGTAAACCGGCAACGAAACTTCTATCTGTCAACACAAGACTTGAAACTTTCTCAGCAATCAGCATTTTAGTTGTCTGCATACTCAAGTTTGGCTGATGCAATTTACGAACCCGTCTCACAGTCTGTGTATTGTTTACTACATGGATAAAGATGGTCATGGACTATTATTTTCTCGGAAACCATGTATGCAACAACCTAAGCCCACTGCTAGCAGATATTGTCCGCTTTGGCTCATTACATATGCCGCCGGCCTCACGGTTTTAAAACACGTCTACTTGGGAGATGTTTATACACTTTTATAAGGAATGTTTCGTTCTCCTCTCCAACTGATGTGTGATCTCACATTGGTTGGAGAGGGGAGCGAAACATTCCTTATAAGAGTGTGAAACCTCTCCCTAGAGGATGCGTATTAAAACCTTGAGGGGAAGTCCAAAGAGAATAATATCTGCTAGAGGTAGGCTTGAGCTGTTACAATGTAATTTTGTTGCTTTGTGTTGGATATAGCTAATTCTTTCTATTCCATTCAGGTTGTATTATCCCCTGATGCAGATCCTCCGGTTGTCAGAATAATGGATTACAGGTATGCCACTTTCTCACTCTGTTCTTCCCATTACCTCTCTGCTTGTGGAAAAAGTTGTATTTGCTCAAGTCCAATGCCAATCTGATGAACTTTAATGATTACACTAGTTCTTTAGTAAACCCGTTGAGATGATTTATTTTCAATTAATACTTCACTTTCAATTAAATGTTCTTGAGAAAGTAATATATGAAAATACTAAAGAGATGGAAACATGGTACAATGTGATGGAGAAATAATGAAAAATATGATGATTGTTATGTTTTCACTGGGAGAATTAAAGGGTCACATTCGTTTTTCCTTGTTGAATTTTGTTCCTTTTATGTTGAGATTTTTCTTTTCCTGTCTTTCTCAGTAAGTATAGGTACGATCTACAAAAGAAGAAACGAGAACAACAGAAGAAAAGTGCTGGTGAATCTCTTTCTTAATTGAGTCTGCACAATTTATTTGGTTCACAAACCTTTCAGATTTGGGGAAAGATACTAATAATGTGTGGTTTTGAATGTTAGCAACTCGCATGGATTTGAAGGAGCTTAAAATGGGGTAACACATTCCTCAATTGCTTTGTTTTTTTGGAGGTTTTCCTTTCTTTTCTTCTTCTTCTCAACCTAAAGTCACTTGAACTTATGACTTCTAAGATCAATAATCAACCTGTAAAGCCAAGAGTCATGAGAGGCTTTTGTTCCTTGCGTTTCGCTGCCATTTCAGAAATAATTCTGCACACGTTCCTTTTCTCAATCTCAACCTTCTGGTTGCTATTATTATTGCACAGTTATAAAATTGACCAACATGATTACTCTGTTCGTTTGAGAGCTGCAAAGAAGTTTTTGCAAGATGGAGATAAGGTTTCTTCAGGAATCTTTTCTATATCTTTTATCTTCTCTTCATGCATCCAAATATATTGTTATATTTGTTTGCATCACTTTGGAAATCTTGTAACGAATATTGTAGGTTAAAGTTATAGTGAACTTGAAGGGTCGTGAAAACGAGTTCAGAAAAATAGCGATTGAGCTTGTCAAACGTTTCCAGGAAGAGCTCGGGGAGGTACTCATGTTCTATCAGTTTTGTGCCACCTTTAATATCTGTTCATCATGGCAATACTAGAGAAAAATGATGCTCCTTATTGTTTTAAGTGAAAATTGAAAGTGTAGTTTTAGACACTTGGTTGAACTATTTTATCTCTGATGTCTGACCCCATGAAAAACGATTAGTACCTTCAGGGAGAACAGTTTCTAAACCTGTTTAATTTAACCATTTTCTTAAGGTTTGTGGCATGTGAGTTTCCAGGCCTGTAACAGACCGGTCTGTCTAACCTACAATATTTGAACTCATTCATGAGATCTTATTATCTAAAATCTCATAGATGGGTGGCTAAAATGGGGTTTGGACCAAGCACTTTCTTTTTTGTTAGGAATTACGGACCTCCACAATGGTATGATATTGTCCACTTTGAGCATAAGCTCTCATGGCTTTACTTTTGGGCTTCTCCAAAAGGCCTCGTACCAATGGAGATTTGTTCCTTATAAACCCATGATACAACTCCTTAATTAACTGATGTGGGACTCCCAACCATCCTTGACATTTCTAAATCTTAACA